TCAAATACCGTGTGATTTCCTTCATTAAGTAGCAGATAATAACAACAATAAACAAACACATAGAGACAGAGATTGGATTGGTGGTTACCAGAGGGGAAGAGGGGAGGGAGGAAGGCGAAAGGGATAATTCTGCACATGTGTGTGGTGATGGGTTGTAATTAGTATTTGGGTGGTGAACATGATGTAATCTATTCAGAAATAGAAGTATAATGATGTACACCTGTAATTTATACAATGTTATAAACCAATGTTACTGCAATAAACAAAAAATTTTTAAAAATAAGTATTGTATAAGAGAGTAAACATAATCCCAGTAAGGTGCACACTCATATATGTCGATGTAAACACTTAGTAGTCATTTAACCAAAAAGCGAATTGTGACACACTGGAAGATTGGGGGGCAGGGAGGGGAACGGAGGGAGGATGTACAAGCGCTAAATCCTCATCTGTTATCCCAGGAAGTCAAGAGAGTGTCCATGACTGAAAAATTAACAAATGGAGTAGAGGCAAATTATTTAGAAGTATGAAGTTAAATTCCAAAAGAAATAGCTAAGAGAGTTGAAAACAATTGCCTCTAGGGAGCTCACTGAGGAGAACGGAGAAGTGAGGAGGGGTGGGGCAGAAATTGTGACTTTTCATTAATGAATTTTTAACATGATCTGATTTTTAAATATTGTCAGTGGATTATTTGATAAAAAATAATGCCAAAAAATGTTATGAGAACCAAGAGACCAAAAGAAGCATTATAATAACAGCAGATTAAACTCAAATTTCCAAGTCAGTGACTGGTTTCCAATAGTATACTGGAATAAATGTGCTTAAGAATCAGCTGAAAAATGAAACAAACTTTTTTCTATAAGATGACTGAAGCTTGAGAAACCCAGTTATGTGGTCTAATGACTTTTAGAGCCAAAGGGGACCTTAGCATTGAATCTATTTTACAGACAAGGAAACTGAGACTCAAAGAAATGAGTGACCCCTGGGCCACCTGTAGACGCTCAGTGAGCAGCAGGAACACTCATTCACCCCGCCGTGAGTCCGCACCAGACGCTGAGGCGTCTGGAAACCTGTGCTTGCCCTCAGGGAGCTTCAGCCAGTAGGACAGACATCAGAAAGGGAGCTGAGTGAGCTGGGGAGCCAGGGCAGGAGACCCGGCCTTGGAAGAAAGACGAGGTGTGCAGGTGGAGGCGGGTGCAGGAGGGGCTGGGCAGGGGGCTGGGCCCAGGGCGCCTACTCCACGTGGAGTGAAGGCCAGGGCTAGAAAGGAGGCCAGGAGACTGGGTAAACAGCTCAGGCCCAAGGACCAGCTGACGGCCACCACATCTGGCTGTGCTGCTCTGCTGTGTTGGGGAACAAGCCAGATCCCAGGGAGACAAGGTCAGGAAAGCAGGTGGGGTGGAGCAACCCCGGGGAGGAGACAATGTCACAGGGCCTAGAACTCAGGTACGAATCTGAAAGGAGGCTGCAGCTGTAGCAGGACAGTAGCTTTGTTTCTGCTTAGGACCTTGTGTCTGCTTCCTCTGAGGACAAGGGCCGAGTCTGAACTCAGGGGTTAGCAGGAGTCCCTGGGGTGGGAAGTGAGAGGCCAGGGCAGGCCAGCCCCCAGAAAGTGCCTTCCCCATTCCATTCCTTGCCCAACTGGACTGTGCGGTTCTTGAAGGCCCGGACTCCATCATGTCATTCTCCGTGCCCCCCAGGGAGCCTGGCAAGGCGACTTGTCCACAATGGGAATTTGATAAATATTTGTTTCCTGACTAATAAACCGGGTGACTGTAACCACAGGGACCAGCTCAACAAGGAGAAAAGAGAACCATGGATGAAACTGCAAAAATGTAACTGCCATTAAGATAGTACAGATAATATTAAAAATTAGAATTAAAAAATCAAAATGCACAGGTAAATTATGGTACAACCACTTAGTGGAGTAGTACGTGGATTTTAATTGACCACTTTAAAGCCAGTAGAAACATGAAGAAAGGCTTATGAACAAAGATATAAAATGGTATGTGTGCAATGGACACAGTTATGTAAAAGTATGTACCTATATGGACAAGGGTTAGAAAAGAATATATTAAAAAATGAAAATTGGACCAGAATATCAGGATTATGATTTTTTTCCTTCACAACATCCTCCACTGAAATTTTCCTTGGGCTTTGGAGTTGGATGGGCCTGACTTTGCACAGAGGCTCAGCTACTTATCAGCTGTGGGACTCAAGAAATGCACTTTTACTTTTCTGAGTCTCCGTTTCCTCCTCTGCGACACGGGCACGTGGGCGTTCATGCCTCCTTGGGTTGTCATGCACCTGAAGTGAGACCACGTCAGGAGAGCTCTTGGCACACTGCGTTGTACACGTTAGCTTCTCAAAAACTGGTAACTGAGTTTAGGACTGTTATGAACCCCGGGGGTATTTTGTATACAGAAGCTTTTATTTCTAATTTTTGAGGATAATAGGTTTATTTTTGTGCTTGTGTTAAATTGAATTAGGCTCAGTGTAAAGAAAATCATAGCACAGGAAAGCCTAAGGAAGTAAAAATTATCCAAAATACTAATACATAGAGATGACCACTGAAAATATTTATTAATGTCTTCTAGAATTCTCTCTAAAGAAACAGATTTGTATAATTTTCCATAAATGGGAACAAACTATACTTATATTCTAGACATGCTTTTTTCCAACAATGTCATGAGCTTCTTTTAATTTCAATAACTACAGATACAGCATCATTTTTTAAACTTAAGTTTACTGTGGAGAAATTTTTAAAATGTACAGAAGTAGAGGAAACAGTACAGTGAACTCACCCATCACCTAGCTTCAACAATTAGCAATTTGTGGCTAACGTCATTTATCTATACCCAGCCCTCTCCTCCAACACCAGATTATTTTAGAGCAAATTTAAAGCTAAACTATACTTTAAATTATACGTAAGGCAAATCTTTAAAACGAGTCTGAGATCTGTTATCGTATCATCACGACTTATCATCACGACTATGTAAACATCTATTCTACGAATGTACCCGTTAATATTTTCAGCCAGTTTTCTATTGATGAACATTTGGTCATTCCCTTTTTTCCCTGTTATGAACAATGCCTTGGTGTATATTCTTTTGCTCTTAAAAAGTAAAAGCCTCTCCCTCCCAACACCCATGGGGATTGTACTCAAAATATTTAACTACCAGTAAGACAAGGCTATTGAACAATCAGAATAGACATGGGCTACGGGGCTGGAACAGGGTCCTGGAGGACCCCACTCCTACCCTCATGCCAGGCACTAACTACTTAGTTGCTGAATCATGTGGTCTGGGGGTGCCAGGGGAGGAGTTGGGGAAACCAAGGCAGCAGGGGGCACATTCGAAGGGCTTGGACGATGTAATCATACAACCAGTATGACAGTATTTCAATATTTCAATAACCAGGTATCAGTCCCTTGGTTCCACTACTCTCCCAGAGGGAACCACTTTTAACAGTTTTTATTGGTATCCTTCCAGAAATGTTCTATGTATCCATATATAACCTTTACAAATTTTTACATGAATGAGGGCCTACTTTACATACTGTGCCATGCCTTGCTCTTTTTACATAATAGGCTATCTAGTAGATATTTCCATATCAGCACAGATAGATCTACTGCATCCACAGTGGCTTGATGTTGCCTGTACGGCTCAGAACATAGGAGTGTGTGCATGTGTGGGTGCACGCACACGCGTGTGATTTAGGATTCTTTCTCCCCATTCTTTTTCTTTCCTGCATCTCTCTCTGATGATATTACCCGAGGCTCAGTGGACTGAATGTGCCAACCGGTGACACTGTAGTCACCAGTGAGCCAGCTGAGCCTTCAGAAAGGTCACTGGTTAGTATTAATAACCAGAAGAAAAAATTATATAAAACATCTTTTCAAAAAAGCTTACCTTGGACTGCTCAAAGATTTGTTTTTCCCATGTGGTTCCTTTCCAAGTCAAGAGTCTTAAAGACACCACAATGTTATGGAGAAACTGTTTCCCAACACCACAAAATCAGAATTCATTTTAGGTCAAATCCAGAGGTTCAAGATCTCGAGACTTGAGTGGTCATTCCAAGACTTTAGTGGTCCTGGATATGCCAAAGTAGAAAATCCACAGTGTGTGGATTGCAGAGAGACAGACTTCCAGTGAATCTGGTCAGAGGTTTTTACAAAGGCTGAATAAGCATGAGCACAAATTTCCTTTCTAAAGACAATCCAGTTTGAGTCTTTCAATAATGCAATGAAAGTCAAACTAGAGGAGAAAGTCACTCCTCCATTCAAACTCTCTTGACTTGGGCCTTGAGTTGTGAGGTTTGTCCTTGGGAGATGGCAGGCAAATGTTTGTTTCTCTTATTGCTATGGAAACAGAACGGCTGCACCTCATTGGCTCAGGCACTCTGCTCTTAAAGGGAGACGGCTGGAGAAGCAGCCGTTAAGAAATTCTCCAAGGCACGAGACAAAATACGCTGAAGATATACTTTCAAAGGAAATAGAATTAACAGCACTCCTAGGCTTAACTGGCCTATAGCAGAAGTTGCCACACAGGATCTGTGATGGATTTTAAGCTCCTCTGTCATTTGCTCACAGAAACGTCAACTCTAAAGTAGGCACTTTCTTCCTTGACTGAAAGGCTTTGAAATCTGTAAAAGTGCAAATCCCCCAGGGCAGGAGTCTTTTTCAGTCACCAAGGGGTTTAGATTTTTTTTGGGGGGGGGGGGTTCTTTTTTTTTTTATCTTTTTTTTATTGTGAAATTTTTATTGGACATTATTGTTTATCAGTCAGAATATAAGTGCATCCCTCCACCCCTTGTGCCCACCCCCACCCCCCTAGCCCCTGGTAACCACCGAACAGTTCTATCTGTGTGTGTGTTGGTTTATCTTCCACATATGAGTGAAATCATGCCATGTTTGTCTTTCTCTTTCTGGCTTATTTCACTTAACATAATACCCTCCAGGTCCATCCATGTTGTTGCAAATGGGACAATTTTGTCTGTCTTTATGGCTGAGTAGTATTCCATGGTATATATATACCACATCTTCTTTATCCATTCATCAGTAGAGGGACACTTGGGTTGCTTCCATGTCTTGGCTGTAGTGAATAATGCTGTGATGAACATAGGGGTGCATCAGCCTCTTTGGATTGTTGATTTCAGGTTCGTTGGGTAGATACCCAGTAGTGGGATAGCTGGATCATAAGGTATATCTATTTTTAATTTTTTGAGGAATCTCCATACTGTTTTCCATAGAGGCTGTTCCAGTTTGCATTCCCACCAGCAGTGGATTAGGGTTCCAATTTCTCCACAGCCTCTCCAGCATTTGTTGCTTTTTGTCTTGGTGATTATAGCCATTCTAATGGGTGTAAGGTGATATCTTAGTGTGGTTTTGATTTGCATTTCCCTGATGACTTATGATGTTGAGCGTCTGTTCATGTGCCTATTGGCCATCTGTATATCTTCTTTGGAGAAGTGTCTGTTCATTTCCTCTGCCCATTTTTTGATTGGGTTCTTTGTTTTTTTGTTATTCAGTTGTGTGAGTTCTTTATATATTATGAAGATTAATCCCTTGTCAGATATATGGTTTGAAAATATTTTTTCCCAGCTGGTAGGTTCCCTATTCATTTTGATCCTGGTTTCATTTGCCTCGTAGAAGCTCTTTAATCTGATGCAGTCCCACTTGTTTATTTTTTTCTTTTGTTTCCCTTGTCTGAGTAGACATGGAATTCAAGAAGATCCCTTTATGGCTGATGGCGAGTAGTGTACTACCTATACTTTCTTCCAGGAGTTTTATAGTTTCAGGTCTCACCTTCAGGTCTTTGATTCATTTTGAGTTAATTTTTGTGTATGGCGAAAGAAGATGGTCTACTTTCATTCTTTTGCAAGTGGCTGTCCAGCACCATTTATTGAAGAGACTTTCCTTTCTCCACTGTATGTCCTTAGCTCCTTTGTCAAAGAGTAGCTGCCCAGAGATATGAAGTTTTATTTCTGGACTTTCAATTCTGTTCCATTGATCTGTGTGTCTGTTTTTGTACCAGTATCATGCTGTTTTAATTACTATTGCTTTGTAGTATGTTTTGAAGTCAAGGATTGTGATGCCTCCAGCCTTGTTCTTCTTTTTCAGGATTGCTTTAGCTATTTGGGGTCTTTTGTTGCCCCAAGTGAATGCTAGTATTCTTTGTTCTATTTCTGTGAAGAATGTCCTTGGGATCTGATTGGGATTGTGTTGAATCTGTAGATTGCTTTAGGTCGTATGGACATTTTAACTATGTTTATTCTTCCAATCCAAGTGCGTGGAAT